CACAGTTTTACAGCGTGCATCGCATGCTCATACTAAACTGATATATTATGAACGTAGCACTTGAGGGAGTTTGCACTGTAGCCTACTCATTACCTTCAACCTCACACAAAATGTCAGGCCCTATAGCCTATAAATATAATTTAGTAAGCAAAAATCTTGATTGAATTGATTATTGAAGAATGCAGTGTGAATTACCCCACCATACTGCTCTTTCACTTCTTCTATGACCACCATAATGGTCATATATCTCTCAGATCACATAGTTCTCTCTCAATTATGTCAGGGTTTTTTTCTGGCTCAAAATGAGGCAGTGGTAGCAAAATCATAACACTATGGGGGGTCTGGGGCCCGGACTCTTAACACACGCCATGTTTGTTGTTTGGCCAGAGGAGAACTGGACCCCCGACTGAGCCTGGTTTTTCTTTCTTCCTTTTGTCACTGATGGAGTTTGGGTTTTTGCCACTTTCGCCTCTGGCTTGCTTTGTTGGGGACACTTATTCTTAATACTTATCGGCCTGCATTGCCAGCATTATGAAAACTGAACTGAGCTGAGAATCACTGTTTCCTGCAGAGCTGCTTAATGATAGCACTCTTAATGCTTATTGCCCACTCAAGTTATGGCCCCATAGAAGCAGTTTTTATAAAAATAGGCTAACGATTGCTCATAACATGCAACTCTCTGTCGCACAATAGAGAAATTACCGAATAGACAGGAAGAGAAACTCGCGTGCAATCAGGGGGACATGGAGGTATAAAGTTAAGGGAGAAGCCCATAGAGAGTCATAAAGTTGCTCCTGCTGCTGTTCATGGACAACTAATACTCACAATCTCCGGCTCTGCAAGATTCGAAAGGGAATGATTCAGATTCCTCTTGGCACAGCTACTAGAAGACGTATAGGTTTCTCACGTCACATCTACGTCGTCAAGCTGAGTTTGAGCCTGCGCAGTGCGCTCCGCAATCAGTGATTGGCAGAACTTCCATATAGTTCTGCCATCTTGTGAAACTATAATAGCAGAGAGGGACAAAAAGTACTAGACCAAGTATTTTCCACAACGTGTTTTCGTTCAGAGCTAGCGTGACGTGACTTAAAGCAGCAGAAACAGACGCTTGTCACGGCCCCGGCAAATATGAAAGGCTGCATTGCAAATCCTCTTCGCCAGGAAAGTCCAAAACAGATTGTAAAAGGAAACATGACCGGAGATTTCAAAAAACAGGTGGATCTAATGCAGGAGAAAGATTGAGACGCTGAAGTCCTGCTTTCTTCTTGACAGTTAAGTCAGTGTTATATGTCTTAATTACAAGCTTTTTTTTCATTGTTTGGTTATGTACTTTATTTTATAGACAGATAACATTTATACAGTTATAGTTTAAAGATGATGATGATATTTAACAATGCACATACTTTAGAAAATATAACGAATAAAGAAGGCATAACTACTTATTACAATAGTTCATGTTTTTCAAGTTGCTGTTTGTTTGAAATAACAAACCTGTTCACCCGAAGGAACACTCGACGAAGTGCTATTAAGGCATCCTGTCATAGCTTTTTGGTACATAATTGCTACCATAAATGCAACGCACATTTGAAAAATTGAGGCGCTGGAGAGCACAATTTGTTTGAATGCAAAATAGATTTTCACAGCTGATCTGGAGCAATCTCTTTTTTTATACATTTTTGAAAGTAAGTCGAAAATATCAATCCAATACTTGTGAAGGTTGCAACATTTCCATAGTGAATGTAAAAGTGTACCTTCTGCAACCTTGCAATTATGATGAAATGAAAATATATTCAAATGTGCAGCCCAGTAGTATGCTTTAAAGAAAGGAGACCCAAATCATATTCACAGGTAGATGAGAGAAATTCCTACACATTAACCCTAACCTAACCCTTTAAAGCAAATAAGTGATTAAAAATCGAACACCCAACAATGTGTAATTTCTTTGCATCTCGTTCTGAATACATATAAATTACTAGACAAAAAATTATATCCTTAGAAAAGTGGATTTTGAGGGTATAGCTCCATAGACCTCCATTGCACTAATGTGCACTTACTTGCATGGGTAAAATTCTGAGTCAGAAATTGTCCTCTGCATTTTGAGTATGAGTTACTGGGCCTACTTCACTGAATGGAAAATTATTTATTATGTTTGGCTCATCAATGTAGACACTTAATATCTGATTTTTAACTAATATAGAATCATTGCGTTGTGTTTGAGCTAAAAGCTTATAGTTTGTGTTATGACCCTAGATAGCCCAATTAACTTTTGTTGTAATAGCTGTCTATTTAAGCCACCGTTTTAACTAAGGCTACCCAGTATTCATTACGATGTCATTAAAAATTGAAATAACTGATCATTATCTTCCTTTCTAAAGCTCTTTAGTAGATCAATTAATGTAATTTGCAATTTAGTTATGCCCACAGAGTGTCTGGTATATTGTTTCAGTTTAATATTCATGAGTATTGATATAATTAAGGGAACATATTTAATTAGAATAGTTCTCTTTTTAGTTCTCTAAGAACTAAATCCTGTGAGATTAAGAATCAATTACAAACACATTTGGAAAGGGTTTTATCTGCAAGACTTCTGTATTCCTTGAGGATATAAGTATAATGAGATTTCTCCATTAATTTTACCTGTGCTATATTCTCAGCGGAACATATAAGACAGCATGAGCCTACATTTTATGCTCTTTTATTTCTATAAACAAACATTGTATAGTACAATCAATTCTATAACATCTTGCTGGTGAGAGGATGTAATTGTCGATAAGGCTCTTTGTAGTAAGCACCCAACTCTGCGATTGCCTGAAGCCATATTGACAGCTATCATGAACCAAAAAGATTAAAATGTAAATTATATAAGATGATTGCCATTTGATTGATTGAAGAAGCACAGAGGAACCTTTTAAACCAGAGGAACACAGGAGAGCAAAGAATTCAATAATTCATTTGTGTGAACATTGTTTTTTAAAGAGTTGAATTGCTGTTCTTGTGATTTAAGAAAAGATTCGCGGTGTAAAAAGGACATAAAATATTGAAATAGCATTAAAATAAATTATACAGGAAGCTTTATAAGTAGAACATGATGGACATCTAGGACACAGTAATAAAATGCATTTTCAGTTACTTGGGAAAGGAAGGTCCTCTTTCACTATAGTGTGATATTTTTCCTACATAGCATTCCTGATGTTACTGATGTTTCATAAACCACTGATTTATGTTAAATTAGCTAATGTGTTGAATTGCATTTAGATAAAATGACAAACATTAATGCATAAAATGTCAAGTGTACAACCAAAAACACTAATCATCAGACTCTCATTTACTTGCATGAAAGGTAATGGACTCTCCAATTTACGTAAATGCTTTAGCAGGGGTGAAATCAAAACTACTCTCAAAGTCTAAATTTGAAACATTGTTTGAGCCATTTAAAGGGTGGTATGTTTTCAACAATTAACAGTATAAAACAAACAGGGCATTAAATGTGAAGAGGGGATATTTGGTGCCAATAAATCCATCAAACCCGAAAAAAAAAATTAAAACCCCTTTTCAAGTATGAATACTCAATGAATATGTGTTCTTGTTCTTATCTTTTGACTAACATTATGTAAAGATATTTACACACAGAGCAGAACGCATTGTCTTCAATCTGTGACAGTTACAGTCAGCACAGTGTGAGTGAAGTGGCCTACTGTGACACACTGCCTATAGAAAACATTTGCTGATTTTCTGAATCCTTTCTAGAGATGTATTGTCTCCTTTTTGACATCCCTGACATCTTTTCCCATTTTCAGTTCATGGTGTTGTAATAGTGGATGTCTACAGTAAAAATGTGTGGATAATATATGCACAGGCCAGGCTAACAGAGTCAGATTCTTAATGATGAAACTCTATTAAATATGTTTTAATGGATGCAGGCTCATTTGATGTGTTAGCATTTTTTTTTATTTAAGGTATGGTGATGCAGACCCAAGGTTTTGTGTTTTCAGATAAATACTCTGTATGAATCAGTTTTCAACATCAATAAATAAAAACTTTTGATATTTGATAGTTACACTTTTATTATTAAGAAAATCAAGTACTGTAGACAAAGTAGGTAAATGTAAGAAAAACATATATAAAATGCTCTCACTACAAGGAAAAGGGGTATTGATATTCAAAAGGTAGACTTGACCCTGATGAGGTCTTATATAAAGATCCTAAAACCTTTAAAAGAGTCATGGCAAAGGCATTCAAATTCACATACTGCCCTCTTTTGGTTGATTTTGAAATGTAAAACAAGCTCATCTACATTGTGGCATTGAGGCTCATTTTTTTTTTCAGTGTTATTTTATCATACACTCTTAAAAATAAAGGCTTAATGGCAATAGTTCCATGAATAACCTTTAACACCATTGGGAAAAAAGGTCCTTTAGATTATTCACGTAGAAAAAAAAATATTTTAAGAACTGTTCACTAAAAGGTATTTTGGGGAAGCCAAAATGGTTCTTTCTGTGTTGTCCCTGCCAACCCCCCTTTGGAAACCTGTTATTTTAAAGAGTTGTGGTAATTTATGGGAAGTACCCATTGAAATGTCATGAATGAAGAATCTTTTTGATGGCAATTGAGTACTGAAATTTATTCTGTTTTTAATTATTTAAAGGGGTGATGAACTGAGAAATCAAATTTTCCTTGAACTTTTGACATCTAATAGGTCATCATAAGAATATCCTTTCAATTTCAGAACTGAAAACGTCCTTGTAGGCCTCTTTGGTAAGAAAGTGTTATAAGAAGAAATAGGTTCTCAGCTTGGTTACGTGAAGGAATTTCAAGGTTACATGATGAGCTATTGTATTGGAAACAAGGTGGGATGCAGAGAGCTGGAGTTTGAACATAAAACGTTGTCTCAGTGGTCGTCTCTCTTCTCACGGCCATGGATTCTAGACTGAAGAGACAGAGTGTTTGATGGAACTGAGTGAGAAATAAAGAAATGATCTAACAATTGTCTTTCACTTTTATAAAGGAGAGAGAATTTATTTGTGTAAAGGTTTGTGATATAATTGTTCATTTAATACATAAAAATAAAAATAAAGGTCTTTACATTGTGCCTTAAAATAGTTTTTCACATTGATTTAATTATACAATAAGAAAATGTACTATATGTGAAATAAATAGAAATCATTCATGTATATTAAATGCAAATACTTCACTGTCACCTATCATATACAATACAAACAAATCCTACCTGTATGAAAACCCTGAAAATCCACGGAAAGGCCTGACAGAGTATTTCTTGCTGAATAACCCTTAAATAATGAATAATATATGATATTCATATTCCAGAACATAACCCCCAAACACAAGCAAGAATAAAATCATAAGTTATTTGAATTTACAACCAACAGAGTAATTGCCTACAGCAATTAGCATGTTAAAACTTCACCACTATGACCGATGTGATTTCAACACCAAATAATATATTGGAAAATTATATAAACTCATCAAAAAAAGGAACCACCATCTCAATTTTAACTGCTTTTCCCCCAGCAAATGTCCTAAAGTGTACAAATTTGCATGAACATAAAAAATACATTTTCTTAGGCGTCTTACATTAGACACTGCAGTTTATTGCTCTGTCCATATCTGCAGTCCTCAGCAGGACTATGGCATGTTCACACAGGAGATCAGAGGACCTGCGCGAAGTTATTGTCACAGTGACCTCAATTGTCTACCGCCTGTAAACTGTTCCACAGGTGCATGCACAATAATTGTTCATTGTTAATTAAAGAAGCATGAAAAATATTGTTAAAACCCTTTTCAATAAATATCTCTAAAAGCTTATTTTGATTTGACAAAATTATCATGAAAAAGGGATGTTTCATTTAGGAGCTTCTTTATTTATGGTTCACTCTCTGGTGTGTTAGCAGGCTTCTCTTGTCTTTAAAGGTCTTCCCACAATCCGGGCAGAGGAACGGCCTTTCTCCTGTGTGAGTGCGCTCATGCACTTTGACTTGAGATGTCTGTTTGAAGCCTGTGCCGCAGATGGAGCAGGTATAAGGCTTTTCTCCCGTATGTACTCTCTGATGTATCCTAAGCTCCGCAGTCCTGCGGAAGCTCTTTCCACACTCAGAGCAAGGATGAGGTCGTGTTTCACTGTGAGTGTTCACATGCATTTTCAGCTCATATGAACGGCGGAAGCACTTTCCACATTCAGTGCAAGAATAGGGCTTCTCATCCGAGTGAGCGCGCTGGTGACTCCTCAGTAAATACATATGAGTAAAGGCCTTTCCGCAATCAGTACAATGATAATGCTTCTCTCCTTTGTGACATTGCTGGTGCTCTTTAAGTAGACAGAGCACACCGAAAACTTCACTACAGATGCCGCAACTAAACTCTCTCTTTTCTGACTCAGGTGGTTGGTGCTCTTTTAGTCTCCTGCTGTCAGTGAATGTTTTTTTGCACACAGTACATGAATAAGGCTTTTCTCCTGTGTGAATGCGCTTGTGTGCGATCAAATTGGCATGTCCCTTGAAGCGCTTCTCACACACGGGGCACGCGTAAGGCCTTTCTCCTGAATGAACGCGCCTGTGAACTTTAAGTCCGCCCAGCTGGCAGAACGTCTTCCCGCATTCTTTGCACTCGTAAGGTTTTTCACCAGTGTGAGTTCGTAAGTGAACTCGTAACGCACCGGATGTAGTAAAGGCCTTCCAGCATTGTGAGCACAGGTACGGCTTCTCTCCCGTATGAATCCTTTGGTGAATTCGTAGATCTATAAGTTGCTGGAAACCCTTGTTACACTCAGGGCAGTGGTAGCGTTTTTCACCTTTATGAAGTCTGCGGTGATTAGAAAAGGAGCCCGACTGAGCAAAGCTCTTGCCACATTCAGAACAGTGGTAGGGTTTTTCTCCTGAATGAACACGCAGATGCACTTTTAGTTCAAAAGATGTGATGAACCTCTTGCCACATTCAGTGCAACCATGAGGCCTCTCTCCTGAATGAACTAGTTTATGTCTTTTAAAGTGAACTGATGTTTTGAAGTTTCGTCCGCATATAAAGCAATGGTGAACTGATCTGTTAGAGCGGACTCCTGTATTTTTCCTTTTTCTCCTTTTTCTTTTACCAGTTTCTAATAAGAAAAAAGACAATGGGCATGTAGAATGAGTTTAACATGAACAATACAACATCTTACTATTCATTTTAAGGTGCAATGTGTAAAAATTTTGAGTATCTATAAACAGAAATGCAATATGACATCCATAACTATGTTGTCAGTGGTATAAAGAACTTCAATGTAAGTACATAGTACTTAAAGCCACTTAATATAAAGTGGGACCAACCGTAATCTTTTTATTACCTTAGAATGAGACATTTATATCTACATAACCGCGGACACCCCCTTCTATGAAGGTTGACATATTGTGACGTCATGTTTCTACCATAACCGACAACGAACAAACAGCCATAAACACCTTCTTTGACTTTTCCCTTGTGAGTGGTGTAAAATATGTAGTTGGATTATTTCATGTAACTTAGTTCTTCTCCCTCGCTGTATTATGGATTTGTGTTGGTTATGTGGGGATAAATGTGCTGGTTACGTTCGTGAGACAGCTGATTAGGACTCTTGTCAATGACCATAAAACAGTATGTTACAGGAATCACCAACCCGTCAATCTTGGAAGCATGTTAAGTCGATCACAAAGAGTTTTCAAGGTTTTTTTTTTTTAGGAAAAAAACCTATTGTGTGTTGTAAATGGTGTCTACACGAGTTGTTACAATTGTTACAATACAATGTCATTTTTGCCGCACGCACCTTTGGGCTCATGCGGACGCGTCGAGTTTAAACAAGGCTTTACACTTTAACCAGATCAGCCACAGTAACAGCTCATATTTAGCCAGCTAAAGTTTGACTGTCCTGTTCGAAAAAATATATAGTTGCATATTTTCATGTGGTTCTTCTCCCCCACTGTATTATGGGTTTGCTATGTGGGGAGAAATGTGCTGGTTATGTTTGTGAGACAATCAGCTGATTACTATTATTATATTATATATTAAGACACTTGATCCTCACCTGACTATGGCTTTGTAAACTTTAGCCATGATGTGGTTTATAATGGACACTGGTACAGAAACAGTGACAATGTTACACACTCTGGCTATTCTCTGCTGTCTCAGACGACATGTTTGTCACCAAGATGTTTATCCGACAAAAGTTATTATTTTTTTTTACAATGTATTAATATTAACAAACTGCATTGATCTAATAAAATTACAAAAAAATATTACAATGACCAGAGCTGAACAAGATTCCCACAACAATTTTTATTTAAACATCAGCATAAGAGTGATTTACCAGCCCAATGGGCTATGAAATACGAGTTTCCGCCAAAATAACGTACAGTTTGGTTGTTGGACACACAAACTTTGATTTCAACAAGAAAAAATATTGTGATTGTAAAAGATGTATCAGACAATTGCTCATTCATGCCAGTGATTAATTGTTAATTGGATTTCAGGCAGTCATAGCATATCTTATGCTTACAAGAGAAGTAATATCCTGTTAATTATTACTATATATAATTTCTTAAAGAGACCACATCCCTCCAGTCTAAAGCAAATTCACTGTACAGATTTATTGTGGCTAGTTGAGGAAGAACCTAACCTAAATGGGATTTTTTTTCACAGTGTAAAATGTGAGCACAGATTTGTTGTTTGGCCGTTTTACCTTGTTTTGGAACTCCAGCATCTTCCCTATCTGTGAGCATGATTCTTGAATCCTGGAGGAATGAATCCGGATTGGCTGGACACATGACAGAGGCTTCCTCATCCTTAAGATCAGCATCTTTTTTTAACTCCACACAAATGCCAAACACACTGGGTTGACCACAAGAAGGTGGGCTTGGATCTGGCTTCTCTTCGCTCACCTTAATCACTAGATGTAATTCGATACAAAAACATATTACATACAAAACAATGAGTGAATTCTTGACCATCGGAATAGGCTTACTCACAGTGCTCTTCGTGTCCAGATGGGTTCGTTAGTATCTCTATTGCCGCCAGAAGAACATCCATGCTACGTATTACTTTCGGTCCGTCAAATAGTAAAATGCGTTAACCTTTTCTTAAGGCAGGTGCATATGCTCCAGTGGACCGCATAGATTCTTAAAAAGTTTCTAACAGTAAGCTAACATTTTAATGGCAGTAACGTTATTGACACAAGCTCCGGAATTACAGGTGAAACTTGTGTTGCCCAGAGCCTAACTTACCAACAGCTTGACAGTGAAGATCACTTCAGCGCTGCTTCAGTCGCCGCACATCTAACGTACTACTACACTTAAGTTCAATAATCATTTATGGCGTCAAACACAAAATCAGAACAGACACGAAGTACACAAAGATCGAGGATCGTCTTGAAGGTGTAAATGTTTTTTTTATTTATTTACTTCCTACTTCCGCATTAAGGGTAATGTTTCTGCGGATTCTCGTAAACCTTCTTGTTTACAGTTCAATCCAGTGGTGCGCATCTCCCACCGTTAGCAGATATGGTTTCAAATTCCGCTGATCTTGGTAACTTAGTATCAAACTTGCGAACATAGTTGCTTTTGGAAAACGCACCCTAGTTAAGGTAAAGATCAGACAGAGCATTTCTGCCAGGTTTTCAACTAAAAGCAATAGGAATTTTTAACGATATTATTTAAGTTAAATAAATATTAGTATAAAAAGGGTGTGATTGCCTATCAATCAGATGGTACACTACAGCAGTGTTTACTAAATGGATGAACGACACTGACATTGCAATGCCTCTAAATCCGTTCACTTTTTGTGCCCAGGGGGCGGCAGTATACTTAAATGAGACAACGATTGCAGTTGCACCAGAGAAGGAGATGTTTGTTTGAAATCATCTGTGATTTTTACAAAACTAGAAAGGCAGCAACTGGTTTGAGATACTAAGGCCTGCTGGAGGCGTGTCTTGGCTCAAATACACTTGGCTTGTACGAACGTCACATTTTCCACGTAAATAAGCAAAAACTAAAACAAACATAAAACTGTTTTTCAAAGGTGAAAAGCTTAAAAATACATTCATAAAATGTGACAATAATCGCAATGAGCCATCTGTCCATTTCATATTTGCGACTACCGCTCTCGATCACGTGATCAGCAGCAGCAATGGCGCTAGCGGAAGCCGCGCCGCTACCGGAAGCCGCGCGGACCGCTCTAGGTTCTGCCGTCTTTCCGTGGGGCTGCAAGCGTCTTCAATGTGGATCACTACATGGCGGTAACGCGGAACACTGCGGTAATGATGATTACCTAACGTGTTAACCTAAATATTAAAATAGTATTAATATCTCCGTGGTTATAGTTAGCACAGGTGAAATTGGTCGCAATAAGCCTCTTACTGTTTATATATCTTAAGTCGTGTGTACACGAGGCCTGCATGAAGGCTCGTTAGCCTCTGTTCATTGCTAACTAGGCTAGCAGGAAATTGCTATGGCGCTTATTTCAGAATTCTCTTGTATTTACCATATTTTACATAGCGGCTACCGGTTGTTGAAGACGCGTATATATGAATCCTGCACCGCTTGACTAAATCACTGTATCTAAAAGCTGTAGCTACGCCAGCTAGGATGTTTGCTGCTTTAATTTTACCAACACAAGCGCGCCACTGCCTTGTCTTCAACCTCTCTTTGTTGATATATAGCTAGTCGGAAGGTGCTAAAACTCGCAGTTCACTGTAGTTATGATTGTGTGTTTACGTGAAGCCAGAAAGACCACCAAAACCAAACGCAAATGAGGGTTTCCATGAGTGGTCAAATTTTTGAAGATTTTTATGGGAACATTGTTTTCAGTATGAATACTACTTTCTCGTGAATGTGGTTTATGATAGATTCTTACAAGTTTGGATCTTGCAGAAGAAATGATCTAGTAGTATGGTGGATTGAGCATGAAAGAAGTGCAGTGTGTTAGCATGTTTCTGTCAGGAAAGAGAAATACTGTATTATAATGACTACTAGCAGTTTCTTAAAGGGATAGGTCTCCCAAAATACAATTCGTTTAATGTTGCTGCTAACTGTTTGACAGACTCTCTCATGTGGAACACAAAAGGAGATGAATGAATGAAAATGTAATTGGTGATTGAGGCTTTAACCTTTTGTGTTGTGGAAGAAAGACGGCTGTCCCTTACTCCTTTAATAGCTTCATCTCATTGCACTTGAACAGTGATTTAAATAATGATATATGCGTTTCCATGAACAACAGATCATTGTTAAATTGTGAGTGCTTTGCCAGCAACTCTACACGGGCTTCCCGATCCTGGTTGGCACAGTAAGGTTCGCCTCATAGGTAAGCTACAGAATTGGTCGCTTGCCTAATTTTATAAGTTGACAAATGCAGATGTCAAGTAGACTCAATATCTTGTCTCAGTACAACTTGAATATGTGCCTTTTTATTCTTACTCTATTCTTATATGCCCATCCTCAGTGAGGCAAAGGTCTGATGATGGAGAATGGACAAGGCACAGGTGCAAAGCTTGGATTACCGCCTCTTACTCCGGAGCAGCAGGAGGCGCTACAGAAGGTAATAATAGTTCTCTGTTGTTTTACTTTTTTTTTTTTTTTTTTTTTTTACTTTTTATCTTTGCTTGCGATGAGGGGGGTTGGGATCAGTACAGGGCATGGGCCAAACTCCAACCTGCATTACCTGCTCCAGTGTGTCAAGAGCTTGCGTACTGCTACTCGATCTAATAATAGATTCATAATTAAGAGTCAAGGCCACAGGATGCTTCTGCATAAGTTGGATTGGAGCTTTTTTCAATTTGAAGGTTGGTACAAATTTTTTGTAGGATTCCTTTTTACCAAACTTGACCACTGTTCATCAGCAACTATTTTTTTTCGACCTTTGCGTTGAAAGAATTCTCTGCAAACAGGCATGTACAGTGCACCATTATAGCGAATTGACAGTGGCTATGTTTACATGCAACCAAATAATCTGTTAGTAATCGGATTGAAGCCTCAATTGGACCAAAAAGCTGTCATGTGAACACCTTATCTATCCAATTTTGATCCGATTGAAAGGGTTAGATTATTCCTTTTTTGATTCGATCGAGAGGACATGTAAACACTTGTTCAGATTGAAAACCGAAACTGAAAGGACTGTGCATGTGTTGTAAATTGTTTATATTTACTCTCATTGTTAAGCGTACTTGAGCTTGGCAAAGGCACTATATAAATTAAATTTATTATTATTATTATTATTAATGATGTTGAAATAGCAAAATGACGTATGATGTGCTGAATGAGCTGTTCTCCTGTTGAATAAAGTCTCATATAAATGAGTGTCCCGTCATTCTAAAATTTTCCTTTCCCTCAGTGTCTGTAAAGTGGAGCAGGACAACGTCCTACCAGTCCGTGTTTTGGATTCTCTTCCACAGACAACTGGTTTTGGACATGGGAGGGGCATTTTTACTGCTTGATAATTATAAGCAGCACTGCAAAATTGTTAATATGCTCACTGTCTCCAAACTATGACCAGAAAAGGATAAATATTAAGTCTGCTGTTTAAAACAAATAAATAACCAATGTGGGAGAATGGTTATTATGGGCAAACAGCAGGAAACTCTGGATTTTCGTGCAGTGCGCTTGTCGAAATATCTATGACAAACACGCACATCAACCTGATCACATGTTTAACGTTCATGTAAACACTACATTCAGATTCATCTGTCAGAATGAATCTAGTCTGATTCTGAAGTTGTGTGTGTAAACATAGCCATTGTAATAATAAATATCTTAAATATGTTGCACATATGGGAAAAATAGTGCATGTGGTATATAGTAAATAACCACTCTTAGTTCACCTAAAACTGAAAATTAGTCCATGATTTACTCGCCCTGATTTACCCAGCCCATGTGAGCCATTCACTCACATTATGAAGCTTGGAAGAGTTAGGACACACTTCACTTTAAAATCACTTTGATTGTGTTTGTCTGAAAGAAGAATGCCATATACACCCAGGATGACTTGAGGCTGAGTACATCATGGGGTAATTTTAATTTTTGGGTGAACTATCCCTTTAAAACTCATCAGCCTCCTTGCTTAATTTGTGTTCTTTTGTTTAGGCTAAGAAGTATGCAATGGAACAGAGCATCAAGAGTGTTTTAGTGAAACAGACCATCGCCCACCAGCAACAGCAGCTCACTAACTTACAGGTGAGCTGATCCGATGATCTGAATATGAAGAATCCTTTAAATGTTGCTTTCTTGTTTGAGAAAATTCACAGAATTTATGCATTAGTGTAACTAAAACCACATGGTGTACTCACTGGCATGTCATGCAAAGGCTTCATTGTCTTTTCAGCATTATAAGTCCTTCAGAAGTCTGCAAAAAGGAATTATTTCATACTTGCATCTTGTAAAATATTGAGTGCTATTTTATTTATACATTAGGATTCATGAATAATCATGACATTTTAAATGATCACTCTTTTTTTTTAAAAAAAAACAACAAGATATCTGTAAGGACAACTCATGTAAGCTGTGAAATTGATAATGAAGTTTTTGACCTTCAGGGAGTCCCTTCAGTTTTTCCCCACACATCACAAGTTTTGTGAATGCTCCTTTTTTTTTTTTTTGTCAGATTAGCCTCAAGTTTAGACTGAAACTCTCCCCTGGAACTCATGCATTATTTGTTTGAGGTCTGGTATTTCTGGGACTCATACTTGTTAGTACAACCACCTAGATCCTAATGAATCTTAAGTGTTTCTGTTTAAATGCATCTATGAATCAAGAAATTGGACATAGTTCTGCATGCACTGCACTTCTCAAGCAGACGTCATGATGACTGAAAAGTCAACAACAGATGAGTTGCCAAAGGATACTTATACACAGCCTCTGCTCAGTTTATTTCTTGGAAAATCTGAGCAGCCTACTTGTTGCCTTTGTTGAAAGCAATGCCTGTTAGTGTCTCTGTTGCTTTAACTGTGAAATGTTTCAGGTTTCAGTCAAATTTAAGTGGTGATTTAAAGAGTTGGGCAGAGTTTAAAGTTGAGTTCGGAGGCATTGACCACCAGTCAGAGAGACTGTCTGGAATACTATGTCTGTCTTCAAAGGATAAAAGAGATATCTAACCTTTTTCAGCACTTTTCCATCTTTACTGTGTTTCAGATGGCAGCAGTGACAATGGGCTTTGGAGATCCTCTCTCATCTTTACAATCGGTCAATAGATTAACTATTATTTACCTTCTGTACGCATTTTGGCATAATGACCGTTACCCTTCTTTAACCGGCATTGGCCTGATACACTAGACATTGCAGCAGCATATTTAAAAAGCAGACTTGGCTTTGTTGTGAATGAAATGTTTGTTTTTGGTCACCCATTTCATTAAGCAGGATGCAAGTTGACACAACATGAACTACCTCCATAAACTGACTGTACTGTTTCAGTGTTTAATGAATGCCATGGGAGCTGTTTTAAATAACAGGAACAGGATATTATAGGTCATCATAGAGAGTTTGAATATGACAATTACACAGGACACTTCTAATTTACTGACAATCCTTCCCATATTTGCCACCCTGATTCACTGCATGGCTGTGTGTGTGTGTGTGTGTGCGCGCCCTCATTTAACTGGTCATTGATTGAAATTTATTTCTCAACCTGAAGCTCCTTTTTTCGTCACAAGAAATCTTGTGGGGAATCGTGTGTTGTGAGTGGTGTGGGTGATCCATTTCTCCTTTGTGAATATGCTGTGGCATATAATTGTCATCTTTGTCTGCTGAAAAAGAGGGATAGCGGTCACTGCGACAATCCA